TTCTCTAATTTTTTTTTGGGCATAAAATCGTATTAAAAATGAAAAATTGAGGAATCATTCATACTTGAGAATAGCCCACTGTGTAATTGGTTCTTAGAAGTGGTTATTCACGTATGGGTACTTTTTTTTTTACGAGTTTCGATCTTGGAAAAATTGATGAAACCTTCATACATTCTTCATTTCACTCAAGAAGACGAAGGAAATCGATTTTAAATGATAGAAGGATCTGGAGATGAAGAAGACAAGAAGAAAAATTAGGGGGGTTGGGGATTGTGAAGAGAGAACAAAGATGATGGATTTAGGATTCTGGAATTCAATTGATTTGAGAAAAGAAAATGGGAAATTAAGTTTTCTAGTGATGTTAAATAAGGGTGTTTTAAGTAGTTTATAAATCCCCCTTTAATATATTTATTTTAAAAACATTATTCTGATCAAAGGCTAAAATCCCAAAGTGTATTATAATATAGGCTGTTTGACCCAATTACCATTCTGAATATCCTTCTACATCTTGAAGCGACATAAAGAGGGTATATACGCATTACGCAACAGTGGATGCAGAGAAATTCTGAAGATCCATCAATGGTGGGAGGTGTTATACGAGAAATCTTGAACAATTCTTTTTTGCTTTTGTTCATTGTTTATATGTCAGCAGAGCCGGTCCTATGTCTGATGGGCCTTGAGGCGAATGATGAAAAGCGGGCCCCCAGCGACAAAATTCAAAGATGTATTATGCGACTCTTTGTTAACTTAAAAAACTAACATTAAAACAACACCGAAATATATCATAGAAACGATTTATATTATAAACCATCAAACCAAAAATTTCAAACAATTAGTTAAATACTATCCGTCTTACTATTTTAGAGGCAAAAATATCAATCAAATCTGAATAACTTAGCTGCTTAACCGTTTTTTTTCTATTGATAACATAGCCAACCCGTTTAATTTTTCTTGCGACATAGTTGATCGGAGATAGGTCTTGATTAACTTTAATTTCGAGAAACTTCTTTCCGCCGATGCAACTGTAACCGGTATGGTTAACAAAATTTGGTAAGCAATATAAGTATTTGGAAAACAAACATCCAATGTCTTCAAATATTGTAGCACTTCAATTGCTCTTGTTGCTTCACTTGGTTTATAACACCTCAAGGCTTGTAACTCCGAATATAAATCATCCCCACTGATGTCTGAACGTCCATTATGTTGAAGATATTTCTCAAAATTCAAACAAGAGTTCAACAAACTTGAAAAAGTTGCACCCCTTAACCTCTTCAAACTAAACAAAAATCCAAATGTGTCATCATATTGTTTGGATTGTTCAAATCGGGTCCCCAGAGAAGATAGAGCTTGATCAATTATAAAAATAAAGTTCTCAACTCTAAAAGATTCTTCTGCTGATTGCTTTACCTCATCACTATCGCTTTCATTAAATTATTTTTTTCTTCGAATTATGCATTTTTCTGTAAATACAGTTTCAATTCTCATTTCGCTTGCCTTTTTTGTCGCTTCATCTTTGGCAAATAGAAAATCTAATTTCTCTATATTCTTCAAGAAATGAAACAAGTCCTTGCAAGAGGTCGATAGCATGATCAATATCCATGGATTCGGTTTGAAGAAATTTACTCACAATATTAACAGCATGCAACAATCTGTACCAGATTATAATGCCAAACAAAAACTCAAAATTTTGAAGTTCATGTGTTGCTAATGACTCGGCTTCACTCTTCACTTTAGGATCTTCATTACTTTCTGCCAAATCAAGTAATGCATCTGTGCAGTTTGCTCCATTATAGGCTTCACACTTTCAACATGACTTTTCCAACATGTTTGTGACAATTGCTTCACTATCAACCCTTGTACATTATCTTTGAAAATTTTCTGTCGCTTGGTAGAAGAGGAAAACAATGTGTAGATGCATTGTATCACTCAGAAGAAGGACAACTTTGGAACAACAGCTCACCATATCACATAATGCTAGATTTAGACTATAAGCGCCACATGGAGTATAGAAAGCTCAGGGATTCATTTTATGGACTCTTCTTTGCACACCTTTGTGCTTCCCGCACATGTTAGATCCGTTGTCATACCGTTGCCTTCTAATGTCATCAATATCGAGATTAATTTTTATCAAAGCCTTTTGAAGCTTGGTAGCAAGTCCAAGTCCTGTTGTGTCATCTACCTTCAAAAATTCTAGCCAATGTTCTTGAACTGTAGGTAAGTTTGCCAAATTATCTACAAATCGTACAATTAAAGACATTTGCTTCTCCTGACTTGCATCTGGAGTACAATCAAGTATAATTGCGAAATATTTTACATCTTTAACTTTCTTGACAATTGAACTTCTCACCTGATTAGCCAACAACTGTATCAACTCATTTTGAATTTTTTTGCCAAGATACGTATATTGAATCTCTCTTACTTTAGCCCGCCGAAGGTGCTCTTGCATTACTGGATCAAATTCACTAACCATTTCGACCATTTGTAAAAATAGGCCATTGTTCTCAACATGTAGCCTCTCATCATCTCCTCGAAATGGCAATGTGTTTTTCGCAAGTTTTTTAACAATAGCGAGTATCCTTGTTTATACATGTCTCCAATGTTCTCTTTCAGTATAAATCAACAATTCAATGCTTTTATCAATTGTAGTTTTTGATCGAAACCTATTTTC